GATCACGAGGAAACTTCTTAGGTAGCGAGATGATTCGATAGCTTATTAGATCTGTGATATCTAATCGTCGGGAGCGATGGAGAATTCGACCTGGCGAAATGGATCTTTAATATCGATCAGATGGGCGTATTTTTAAATTCTTCTCCCTTTCTTGTTTTCGCGGATCTTTTCTCTATATCAACTTTTTAGTTATAAAAGAATAATAAATTAGATGATAACTTTGAAAATAAGAGACGCCTACATAATTCGGGGCTGTCATTAACATATAAATAATTCCAAAGAAGTCAAAGGTCGCGCAGTATATACTTTAAGTTTGGAGCCCGATCTACATAAGACGTAGAACGCGGTTCGCAGGTCGCAAAACTAGGAACTAATCTAACGCATTTTAATCATAGTATGCTTGTAGGATGTAGAACGCAGGACGCAGAAAGTTGAAGTTCATCCAACTTTCTGCGTCCTGCGTTCTACATCCTACAAGCATACTATGATTAAAATGCGTTAGATTAGTTCCTAGTTTTGCGACCTGCGAACCGCGTTCTGCGCTTATGTAGATCGGGCTTTATATTATCACACGCAGAGGCGTACTAAAATATTCCCGCAAAATAAGTGTGATATTTCTATATAACTAGAAGAAGATACTTAGAGAAGATATTTAATATATAATACTAACTTTTAATATATAATAATATATACATCTTTGTCGGTATAATGATTTTTTTAATAATGCCAGTTTTTTAAGTTTTCCCTCAAACAATTTCGGATGCGTTTGATAATTGCATTTTCAGCAGACGAATGCAACAGTAGTTAAAAACAACCCCGAAAGGATATAATAATATAGATTTACTTTTCAAACAAAATTAATTATTTCGTTCACTGTAATTATTAAATAAACGGGGTTATACTGTAATTCCATGCGGGATATTTTGTATCTCAAAATAATTTTAATATAATAAAACACAATACCGTTATTAATTTATCAAAATATTACAAAATTAATATAACACATATTACATATAATATTTGAATTATAATTGAATTTTATTTTAATTTAAACAGATCAACGGAAATACTCAATGAAAATTCTGCGAGGTAGTAAAAAAGTTTTCTAAAAAAAAAATTAAAGACGCCCCTTGTGGCGCCTTTTAATTTTTACACTTTATGTACATGTTAATCACAATAAAAAAAAACAAATGTAATATTAATATCTACATAACAAATCGTGATATCAATAAATTTAGAAAAATTTAAATAATTCTTTAATATATTTTCACTATGGTGAATCCAATTAAGACCTGGTTGCACCAACGTTATTTTGACTTTGAACGAGACTTAAAATTCTCTCTATCTCGTTTTAAAGTCGAAAGAGAAATAGAGAGAGCTTTAAATCCCTCTTAAAGTCAAAGTGACGTTGGTGCAACCAGGTCTAAGAGATAAAAAATTATTGTTAAATTACGTTTGGAAAAATCCGCAAAAAAATACATTTTTATTTAGGTTTGCTATATTTTTTATATGCTTAAGATAAAATAGGTATTATCGCGTCTCTTGGTAACGATCGTGAATGTAAATTCGTGCGAAAATCTCTTTGAAAACTAATCGCTTCGCGAGCGAAGCAATTGCAAATGCCTTTTGGGTCATATTTCTTTACAGGAAGTACCGATTACACGGCGAGTCGTTTGACGCGAGTAAAAAGCGTAAAAAAATGTGCTTGCAAGAGAGCTCTCTGCGAGTTAATCGACAATTACGGATTACGCGAGCGACCATTATGACGCCTATTTTCTTTGCACCGTTAGTGATTATAGGCCGATTGGGTGTATGCCGTGTTTAAATCACATACGTCGTTTCCAGCTGATTAGCTATTGTCCGGAGTTGCATATGAAGATTCACTCTTCAACGTCAAACGTGTGCGATTCAAATCGAGCCGCAGCATTGAACCATTTAAATATGATAACGCTATGATACTGGTATTAAATTGTATGTTTCTTTAAAGATTCGAAGAATGTAATGAATATGTGCAATTATAGAATAAAAGCAGATAACGTAGAATACCTGTTTTTAAAAATTAACATTATCCAATATAAATGTATATTAATAATACTTTTATTTTATGCATAGGTACTCTTTATGCAACTCTTAAGCAATATATTAGCTATAACGTCCAATAAATAAAAGTTTTCAAAATCTAAGTCCAACTTCTGTATAATATTAATAAAAATGTAAAAAGTATGAAAATGAAGGGGTCTATAAAATGGAATATAATATGAAATGCGGGTCACGTTTCAAAAATAAGTTCCTATTCCATATTATATAACATAGCCCTATTTCACATTATCTGCTTTTACTCTAATTGATTTTAAAAGTGTATTTAAGATAAGAATATAATTTCCGATCTGTTCCGCTTCGTGAAAGTAGCGCAGTCGTAATATACTCTGAAATTAATCTCATAAATTTTGTTAAAAATTACGATGTTCTTTAATTAACTTTTTTAGCATCTTATGTAAGTTTTTAATTATAATCTTATACATTTAACAATTTTATCACGATAAAATCTTGAATTTAAACGATGAATAATCGCACTTTGTCGAAAATTTCTATTCTCCCAATGGTTTGTAGTTTTAAGAGCAACTGATGTTTTGGTGTATTTTGTTAAAAAAAATTGAGTGTGGCTGAGAATTTATAAAATTCAAATATGCATCACGTGTTAAACTCCGTGTGTATTCCCAACGCTACGTTCATATGCAAAAGTTTTTGAAACAACTCTACGACTCTATCAATCTCACGTGGCAGATGGCTCGTTATCAGCGGCTAGTTTGAAGAAGTCTGTACACGTACGGCTTTATGACCCCTGTACAGAATACAGCAATACTTAAAAAGATGCGATACGATAGTCAATCATTCTCTTGCTCTTACAGAAAAGCGATAAATTGATTGGTGATAACCGCTACCTAAAAATTCTCAAAATAAGAAAAGATTGGTTGAATATGGCATAGTATTTTTAATTGGTTGCAGCAACCAATCTTTTTTTTTCAGCGTAGAAATCCTTAAGATAGAATGAGATAGTTGTATGATCCATCACATTCCATTTTAAACAAGTTCTGTATAATGGCGGATCAAACGTACGGTGTCAATCTCCTTCTAATCAAACAGACCTTCTAATTAAACATTGGTCATAAGAAAGTATCATCTATTTTCTAGCAAAATCCTGCGAGTGAGAAAAGATATGTACACTGAAAAAAAAGATTGGCTGCTGCAACAAATTAGATGATAAAATATAAATATGGCATAGCATTTTTAATTGGTTGCAGCAGCCAATTTTTGGTTGCGTTAGCCTATCCGTAATATCAATATAGGATTTCGATAGACTAACACAACCAAAAATTGACTGATGCAACCAATTAAAAATGCTATGCCATATTTTATCATCTAATTTGCTGCAGCAGCCAATCTTTTTTTTTCAGTGTAGGTACTACACTGTAAGAAATTTCTGTTGTAAACTTCCAAAAGTATTAGAAGTTTTTATCCAATAAAAATGTGCTGTAAATTTAAACAGTTGTATTGTGAAATTACAATAACATTTTGTAATAAAGTATATGCAAATCTCTAATACGCAAGCGCGGCACGCCAGTTATATAAATTCACAACAAATTTCTATTGTAAATTTACAAATATTGTGAAATCACAACAAAACATTATATGATTTGTAAATTTACTGCACATTTTTATTGTAAGGGTATATAATATTATAAATTCACAAATATTTCTAACAGTGTTTTTGTACTGCAATGGTACGAGAAAGAAAATATATATATCTTATTCTGACTAATGCGAATTACTAGAAAATATCTGATCTCTCAAAAGAAGCTCTTCTGATTAGAGGCAAGCAATCTCTAGTGCAAGTGCCACTAAACGCGTTTATTTGTGATAGCGTATACCGTAAAACATGGAAACGCGCGGAATATGCCGAACACGGTGATTTGCACAACGCGCGCGTTGATTGCCGCGTATATGTACAGAAATAGCAGGCGGTACACTCTCACGCTTTTGTCCTACTTATCTTGCGATTAGCCGTGACTTCCGCTTTCGTCTGACTCGGAAGACCGCGCTTCTCCAAGGTTGCTTTGTTCGATTGCGCGCGCGCGCGAGAGATTTTTCTTGGGAATCGAATCGGCGAACAATGCGATCCGCTACTTTTACACCGCTCTACGTATTCAAAATTAAAAACTGATTACTCCGCGTTAGAAAAATTCTTCATCATTTTCCATCGTAACTCTTCGATGCCATTCTGCGTATTACTTAAAACTTATGTACATAAAATTATGTCTTCCATATATTTACTCAAACTTGAAATAAAATTTAATTTAGACCTTTACTGAAGAAAAAGATTCTTTTTGTTAAAAAGGTTGATATGTCGAACCATTCAAAAAGTAAATTTGTAATAAGTAAAATTTGTATAATAAGTATATAACGCAAAAGATAAATATATACTAATATAATTAAATTTTTACCGGGGACCTCGTAGTATTGCTTGAGAAATCGATTTTTCCACTTGACCCCTGAATATGTTCCATCCTACATTCCCTAAGAAATCAGATACGATATTCAGCCTTCGAACAGTATCGAACAGTGCATAAATCGGCGAAGAAATCATTCAAGGATAAGAAAGTATGCTGTGACTCTTAAACGTTAATTAAAAATTTAAGAATAAACGCGGAGAACATTCGCTAAACATAATACATACACGGAAAAAAAAGATTGACTGCTGCAGCAAATTAGATGGTAAAATATGGCATAGCATTTTTAATTGGCTGCAGCAACTAATTTTTGATTGCGTTAGCCTATCCGCAATGTCAGTATAGGATTTCGATAGGCTAACACAACCAAAAATTGGCTGCTGCAACCAATTAAAAATGCTATGCCATATTTAACCATCTAATTTGCTGCAGCAGCCAATCTTTTTTTTCAGTGTACACACCGCACTGAATCAACAATTCTTCCTGTTTCAGCTGTGCGGGCGGATAGAATGCGAGGCGGTAGAAACAAATTCGGGCCCATGTACAAGAGGGATAGGGCGCGGAAGCTGCAACTGATACGTCAACGGCAACTGGCGATCCAGACGATACGCGGCAGCCTCGGCGACCCGAACAGCTACTCGACCGCGGTCGCGCCCTTGATGCACATCAAGCAGGAGATCCAAATACCTCAGGTCTCGAGTCTGACCTCGTCACCGGACTCGAGCCCGTCCCCCGCGACCGTGGCCGCGGGCCTGGTCACAGCGGCGGCAATCACTTGCACAATCTCAACCCGGGTCTGGACAGCAGACTCTGGGCCGCCAACTCAACTACCCCTGGCACGAAGGTCTTTAACTTCGGCGAGCAATCCGTGCAGCCACACGGCGGTGGAGTGCCGAGCTACGCGTCCAACCCCGTTGTCGCTCTTAAGACACTTAGTCCGATGATAAGGGAGTTCCTGTCATCGATCGACGACCGCGAGTGGCAAACGTCTCTCTTCGGACTGTTGCAAAGCCAAACGTATAATCAGTGTGAAGTGGACTTGTTTGAATTAATGTGCAAAGTGCTCGATCAGAATTTGTTTTCGCAGGTAGACTGGGCTAGAAATTCGACGTTCTTCAAAGATCTCAAGGTGAGTACCTCGAATATCTGGCCTTTTGTAGAACGACGCATCGAGCAGCTTCCCTTTTTTTTTCCTTTCCTCCGTTATCGCGAATTTGATTGTTGTTGTCTTTTTCCAATATTTTAATTTGTTCTAAAACTGAATGAGAGGCAGCAACATATAGTAACATACGCGCATATTAGAAGTAACCACAACAATTTAGTCGAGAATCTCCTCGACGAGAAAAGTTCGTTCTTACCGATAAATAACTCGTTGCCTGGCCTGCTCGGTGCTATGAGCGGGGATGTGAGGTAACCAGCAGCATTGCACAATCACTGAATGATTTCAAGCATCGCCTCATATCTAGGTCATAACAAGATATGTTTCTGGGTTATGGCGGTTGCCCCAAAGCAGGACCGCGTTAATTATAAATTGCATACTTTAATCGTCGTTTTGTAATAACTTTTTATTTTTGCTTCAACACTGTGGATTTGTTAACGACAATGCAAAGCAGATCGAGGCCATTTTGTTGAAACTTTTAGTCGACAATATGGTACATTGCCGCCTGATCTTCACTATAATTTTGTTAAAATCTTGTCACTCTTCCAAAGAAGATTTTTTTTACACGCTTTTTTCTAGTTTTGTAATATAAATATAAATCGTCACATATACCAACCGTATTTTTAAAATATTTTTTGTTACAAAAAACATTTTCTCGATTTAATAAAACGAATATTTCTGAGTGATAATTAATGTTTGTTCATAAATTCCGATTAAAATTATTTTAATTTAATTTATAAATTCTCCTTTCTCTTTTTAAAAATATATTTATCGCATGTGTTTTTATATTTAATTCTCTCTGAAAACATTTTATCGTTATGCCGTGTATGATTTTTTGTAAAATGCGATTAAAATTTGAAATAGAATATAATTACATTTATATTTCTCTGTGTATTTATTCATTATATCTAACATTTGCACGGCAATTATTTGCTAGGTTGACGATCAAATGAAGTTGCTACAACACTCTTGGTCGGATATGTTGGTGCTAGATCACCTTCATCACAGGTTACACAATAATCTACCTGACGAGACGACACTTCACAATGGCCAAAAGTTTGATCTTCTCTGTCTCGGCCTACTCGGAGTTCCTTCCTTGGCCGAAACCTTCAGGGAACTATCCAAGACACTTCAAGAACTAAAATTCGACGTTCCCGAATATATATGCATGAAATTCCTAATGCTGCTGAATCACGGTAAGTAAAATTAGATCCACCCATATTCGTCTCGTTAGTGGTGAATTTTGAGAGACAACCAAGTTGATAACAATTAAGTTGGTAAGATCCATTTGATCATGCGTTTTATGTAGTTTTTTTTTTAAATGTACCGTAAGGATCGTATTGCATAAACGATACAAAAAGTGAAATTTATCACACGACGCAATATAACTTGCTTTTTTATCCTTTGTTCCACTTTCAAATAAATCTCATTCCAATATCTTGTAATACTCAAATTAAACTTTACACATGTTTTATATAATTGTATATATTTAATGTATATTTTTATGTACTGCAGATGTCCGTGGACTAGTAAACAAGAAACATGTGCAAGAAGGTCACGAACAGGTTCAACAGGCGCTTATGGAATACACGCTAAGCCATCACCCATCTGTACTGGTGCGTTTTATCGTCAAACGCTTCCTCACATACTTCATTTAAAATGAGTTAATCAGATATTTAATTGTTCTCATTTTCAATCTGTTTAGGATAAATTTAATAAGCTGTTAGCAGTATTACCGGACATTCACGAAGTGGCAACCAAGGGAGAAGAGCATCTTTATCAGAAACATTGTAATGGAGGTGCACCAACGCAAACGCTTCTCATGGAGATGCTTCACGCCAAGAGGAAATGAAACGATCAGTTTTACTTGGTAATCTTTGCCATCGAATAAGAAAAAAGCCCGTTATTATATACATACATAATACATATGTATATATATATGTATGTATATATATGTATGTGCGTGTATGTATGTATATGTGTATGTATATCTCGAAAGTCCTGTTAATGCCCCTAATCGTGAGACAGAGTGGACCTCAAAGTACCTATTAAGAGCTAAATGCTGCTAAGGTATCGGACCAAGTAAAGGGGCCCTGGTTCATGAAATACCTGTGCATACAAATCAAGTATAGACGTACATTATTTTACACACACACACACATACACACACACACACACACACACACACACACACGTACACGTACACGTACACAGAATATATGTATTATAAAGTGTATCTAAATATATAAACACAATGACATATATTTTCTATATTTGATGTTGAAGTTTTAGAGATGTATCCGTGGGGAAAATTACCCCTAATTAATGGGTATAAGCGCAGGGAAACAGTAAGCAAGATGCCTTGAAAACAGTACAAAGGGTGGTTAACAAAAAATATTGGTCGAAGGGCAGGCAACTTTTGTCTAAATAAGTAAAGCTATTTTTCTAATACTTAGAGGCGAATTTATTTTTAAGCATACCACACTGAAGCCTTGCTCTCACTCGAATGAAATATATCGTACTGCTAAAAGAGAATCAAATTCTCTCTCCAGATCAATCGTGCTTCTGCAAGGGATTCAATGGGCATACTTGAATGACAATGAACTTGCATGTGATATACATATATGTTTGTCGCACGGCCACCTGGGCATCCTTAGAATTTCCTATAAAGAAAAAAATATGCATTTTTGTCACACTTGCACTCAGCGGGGCTACTATATTGTAAATACTAGTTAACATTCCAATTATGTTGTAAAGTACAGATCATGTTAAATATGTAATTACAATATTTTGTGTATAGTTGAATAATGAAATGAATAAATATATTTCTGTTGCTTACTTGAGGAAAATCATTAGCTACTTAATGTCTTCACTAATTTTAGGATCTTATTCATGTATTTTTCTTTATTACTTCTCAAATAGGTGGCGGAAAGGAATAACTACAAATTGCGATATTTTACTATTGTATATTGTATCATAATAAAGATTCTGTTTAAGAAATAAAAGAATCATTGGAGCAAGGTTTATGTGGTCCTATATTGTCTAGCGATTAATTCTAAATGCATAAGATAATATTAAACGTATCGCAGTTGTTAAATAGAAAAGAATATTTAGTAAGTGTTAAGATAGTGATCGAAAGTAGTAATTTTTCACTAATAGATTATTATTAATTTTATTAATTATTACTATTATTATTGTTTAGCCAATAGTCAAAGAAATTCTTCAGTGCTGTGAAGGTTGTCTTTTTGACGCCTGTGGTATTTGAAGCCATTGGAAATTACATATTGTGTCAGATGCAAAGTTAAACGTGACAACAGAGACAGAAATCTTTTCTTACATTGGTAAATTGGTAATATATCCGTTACGATTCCTCTTGTTTTTATTCATGTATCGAACACGTACCTGCTGCAAAAAAAAGGCTATTTTACTACTTTCACTTTTTCCACCGATCTTTCAATACAATTAACTAGGTGTAAAGTGCTTGTTGGTAAGCACGAGAAACTTGATGTCTCATGTTAGTTTAAGACTCGAGTGTTAAATCAAATCAAGAGGAACACAGTAACGATCATTATTACCAATGAAATTAAATATTTTCTTGAGAATAACGCATGTACTTATCGCGTAAGCAAAGATTTGTGTTCACCTGTCAGATTTGACCTTATACGTCGATATAAAATATGCTAATGTTCCCAAATTTTCAAATCGTCCGGTTTTTTATGTTAAACACGAAATTGAAAGCAGCCTAGACTTATCATTATTCTCATTTTTAATAATATTTCTTATTTGAAAAGAAAGAAAATTATTTTTATTTAACTCACGACACGAATGACTACCTCTTCATATCTGTATTAAGTTTTTATATTTTTACATTTTTAGTAACCACATACCTCAGAATATAGACGCCCAGATAGCAATTTGAATGGAATGAATGAATGTAACATGCATAAATAAATATTTTAATTCGTGTAGTGTGTATAATTACACGTTAAGAAGTTACGATGTAATACAACTTATTAAAAGTATCGTACCTATTGTATGTCCACACGTTATTAGGTCTTAGTTAATTATTACTATTGTATTTTCTGCAAATTAGTTCATAATTCTGTCATTTACCGTGTATTAGTTACTGCTGTTTCGCAACTGAAAAATATCGCTTTAAATCATGCATTGCTGTTTGGGTAAGACAAGTTCACGCTACCGTTTATTTATTGTATCGTCTTCTTTCCTCTCAGAGACCTCCTGCTGATTAAAAAGAAAAAAAGCTCCTCTAAAAAAGAAAAAAAGGATAGCTCTAAATCAATTATCTCTGTATATATTTTGTATATAGAATAAGGTATATAAAGCGTGACATATTAATCTCCTTTAAACTTTAATTTTAGGAAAAGACGTTTTCTGTAAATATTTTAGGATTTTGAAGGAAATATAATAACGGCGATAATAGTTTTATCAGAGTGCCATTTTTCTGTAAATGATAAAGATTTTTCTTTTTTGCTTCTTAATGAAACATCATTATTTTTCCTAATGAATTTAGATTAAGATTGAGATTAAGGCAAATTTATGATCCTTTTAACATTAATGTAAGTTTTGCGCTAGTCCAAAAGCTGTATAACTTTGTAGTAACACAAACGTGTGAACTTGTGAAACATACATGTACACATAAAATAACAAAATAGAGAAGCATTTACGAGCACGTTTCTATTAATACAAAAGTATGAAAATTTAATAGGGGTGCGCCTAAAACTTACTCTCAAATGTTAAAAAGAATTATATTAATGGGAAAAATATGATCATTGTCATTCCGCGAAAATGAAATCAATTATTGTAGACATTATGTTTTCTTCGGAATCCTACAACTTTTATTCCTTAAACGTTTTCTTCTAAAATTGGTATTTTTCTAAAATATATTAATACATCACGCTCTAAATGCTTCATTCTGTATATATATATCAATCTCGATTAACGACTCGATCTGTTACAACACGTTTATTAACCATTGTAATTAGTGAATACGACAATTACAGCGTTGTGTACATTTCTTATGTTAAATATGTACAGTTACCAATTATGATTGGCAAATAATCTAATTTAATATCTACATGATTCTTTGATCCAATAAATTGTTGGAATAAAGTTTAAAAAGAAAAAACTATTATGCGTTGTTAACACTGCCATTAGCAGTTGGCATTTGTAAATTATGTAGAAAAATTAATTGACTGTAAATATATCTTTATTATTAACAGATAATTGTTCCTTCCTAGAGAGCTAATAGTACTATTTTTTATATATTATATTGGTTGAAACCCATAGTGATATTACTTCCCTCATTTTGGAACTTTAGGATTGGTACCAAGTTACGGAATATTCGGAGGAGAGTCATAAATAATATAAGATCAATCAGTGTACTATTTTGTGAAATTCGAAAATGATATCTTTTGTGATTATTTGTTCTCTTATTAGGATCTACAATTTTACAAAATTTCAAAATTTTTGTGCGCTCGAAAAAAGAAAAAAATAGTATCATAATTTGTAACTCGAATCTTATTCATGTATTATCAAATAACATATATACATATACATATATGTATACTATATACATAGATATATGTATATATATTATAATATGTTTGCTTTGTATAAATACAAAATTAAGAACGTTGCACAGTGACTAATAAAAATGTTGCAATTATCGCAATCAATTTCAATTTTTGACTTGTGTTAAAACACATCTTTATGCATCTCTGCATTGAATTATTTTTTATACATTTTTGTAATGTGTTAACATATAACCTGTTTCGATTTTACAGTAAATAATTTTTGGCATCACTTTAATATGAATTATTGAGATCATATTATATGATGTATTAGAAAAACATTGGAAGCTTGCTTGCTTAATACATTAACTTTTTCATAAATTAACAATTTCTATTACTTATAAAACTACTGAATGAAGTGATAGATGTATAACTCCAGTTGTGATTGCTCTTAATTTGACCAAGTGCAAATTTAACATTCTTTTCCATACAAAGCATAATGATATATTTATGATAAATATTTTAAATTTTATATGAATTATTGTTGAGGTGTAAATAGTAAGACAAAAATATGTCGCATACTATATCACTTTACTATCTCTATATCAAGTTTTACACGTAATAATTTTTGTCCAAGTAATTAAATTGTTCGTCAACAATTAAGTAAAACGTCTTTTGTATTTGTTTATTAAAATAAGTTCATTAAAATATCAAATCTTTAAAAAAATACAGTTCTTGAAATTAACTGGCAATTTGCTTCAAATTCTACTTTGAAGAAACTTTTCTAACATTAGATTTCTAGATCTAATGTGCATCCGATTTCAAAAACACATTATAAGCCTCTTCATTCATTAAGCTCTTGAGCTCGTCTGAATCGCTTAATTCTACTTTGAATAGCCAACCATCTTTATAACAAGATTTATTAATTAACCCGGGTTTACTTTCAACTGTCTCATTTTTCGCTGTGACTCTCCCGCTGACCGGACTTGTTAATTCTGAAGCTGCCTTCACTGATTCTAGGGCTCCACATTCCTCTAAAAAAATCATAGTTACATAATCTGTGAAAAACATTTCGAATATATTTCCAATCTAAATTTTAAGATAATGTAAAAAATTTCTACAACTAAAAGTAAGGATAGGAAAATTACATAAGTCAAAGCTTAAAAAGCTAATAATGAAGTTTGTATCCTATCAACAGTTTTGACTTCTATTGTTTAATTTTCTTTTCTCGATTGTACATCCTAGAGTCTCATGTTAAAATAAATTTTAAAAAATAAGAAAAAATGTGTTAATTCCAAAGTTATAGAATAATATAGAATAATGGATAGTTTTTTTTCAATGAGATATTCCGTGTATTCTAGAGATAATCTTTCCAATTTCTGAAACTTCCGAAATTTGGTCGCGTTAAAAAAAGTGTCATATTAGCTACCATTTTTCTTGATTGTCGATCCTACATCGGGAAGTTGCGCGTACACCACATCTCCAAGAGCATCTTGCGCGTAATCCGATATACCGACTGTGCCGATTTTGCCATCTACTGTTATCCATTCGTGCTTATCGGTGTACCATCGTTCTGAAAAATCACGCGTTTATTTCGTAACTGTGATTCGATTTATTTTAAATGAAGTTGCATCATACAAGATTTATACAAATTACACAATAAAAGTATTTGTAGTAAAAAAATAAAAATATAACAATACAATAGAGCATATTAGTTCTTGGATGACTTCGGTTAAACTTTGACTAACTTGATCGAAGTGAATTGAATTAACTTATCAAGTAATAATATCTGAATTATTTTGTTAACATGAAAGAATTATCAATGTTTTTCGAAAAAAACAACTAATGTGTCGAAATATATATTGACAAGAGTGAAATTAAGAACAATAATTCTACCATTCGAATGTACTCTCCTGATGATAGACCTGTTGGGTCCATTTAATTATACTTTCTTTATGTTGCATTTGTAAAAATTTCGATTATTATTAAAATAAATTTAGTATTCACATACATACATTCTTTTATTCGAGTATGTTATTTTAACTTTTTGAAATTAATTAATAGGCCTGTTTTTTTTAGCTGAACTTTTGTCAATTCATCTCTCTTCCTTTTCTCTTCAGGAGGAAAGAAGAAGAAGAAAGATGAACTGGTGCAAAAGTTCAGCCAAAAAGAACAGGCCTTATGTGTTTAAAACCCAGTGTCCACGATGCTAGAAATCCGTCCGAGATCTCGGATGAAGAAAGAATTGACCAATCGCATTGATCATGTGACTAAATTGTTTAAATGTGATTGGTTAATTCTTTCTCTCTCCGAGATCTCGGACCAATTTCTAGCATCGTGGACACAAGGCTTTAGGCCGGAATCAGACTACGCATTGAAGATTGAGATTGAAGATTAAAATTTGACCAGTGAGGACAAAGGAATTTTAGCTCCTATTATTTTGATTGATCAAATTTCAATCTTTCAATCTTCAATCTCAATCTTCAATGCATAGTCTGATTCCGGCCTTAGGACAAAGGAATTTTAGCTCCTATCTTCAATCTCAATATTCAATGCGTAATCTGATTCCGGCTTTAATCAACATAAATTAAATGAGTCTCATGAGACTCAATAATGTCAGGAATTGCTTTTGACGTTAGCTCCGGTGGTTAATCGTTCACAGTTGAAAAAATTGTATTAAATTAACATACTTCACGTGTTCCAGTTCTGCCTGGTTTATGCTTCGATCTTAACCCTAAAATCCTAAAATTCAGCCAATGGAATACAGATTTCAGTTAGGACCAATTAAGACTGGCAGCCTTAGGTTCAGTTCCACAACTCACGGTTAACTCTTAACCGAGATTTAATTTGTTTCTCATCCAATTCTAGAATTGGAAAGAGACAGTGAATAAGTTGAACCTCGATTAAGAGTTAACCGTGAGTGGAACTGGGCCTTAGGGTGCTTTCTAGCAAGGACACAGTGGTTACGTTTACACCGTGCATTTAGGCCTATACAATAGACGTCCTTGTTTATCCTGTATATTAAACAAAGACACCTATCGTATAGGTCGCGGACTAAGCGTACGGTGTAAACGTAGCCAGTGTCTAACTGTGTCCTTGGTTTCTTGCTAGAAAGCACCCCTAACTTTTATGCTAATTTAATACAAAGTTAATATGTTAAAAAAATAACCAAACATTATGCAAAAATTAACACAAAAATGTAACTGACATAATTTGGAAGCAAATGGAAACATATTTCTTCAATAACATTAGTATTTATAATTTGGTAAATTTAAATATGTAAATTTTAAATATGTTAAATTAACGCGCACATCCATCTTTTATCTATTTACCTTAGAATTTACGTTTTAAAACTACATTTTTGTTACTTATTCACTTACTCATAAATTGTATTATTATAACAGTAAAAAATGCTAATTATCAATTTAATACAACACATATTTAATAAGAATTGGTTTTAACACAAATACAAAATGTTTTTACTGGTGTTGAGATTAAGTTAATTCGGACTTTGATCGAATTCGCTTCTATTATTTTAATCACAACAAATTTTATTATATATAAAATTTCATATATATGTATAAATTTATATATAATTATTGCGCGTGCACACACACACACACACACACACACACACACACACATGTATATATAAAATTATTTTTACATAATTTATGTAATATCAATTTATACACATACATATATAATGCGACGTACACATACACAATTCATTTAGTTATCGTATGCCCGCGCGCACGTGTTCAGAAATCAAATGAATTCCTTACGAACATTGATAATATATCAACAATTATATTTATAAACAAGATAAGAAGCGAAGAAAACAATAGACGGCGAACTCAGCGATGAAATCGTTTCTTTGTATTACAAATAAGTAGTTTTAGCAAACATATACTGACGCTTTCCAAAAAGCCAAGTCAACGAGTCGCTCATTCTCACTTACCATCTCTCAAGTAGTGAGTTGTGGTTATGGATCGCACTATGGCAAAGGGTATCTTCGACTTCGTAGCTGTATGGAGCAAATCGTGCGAAACGGTTTTTATCGCGCACCTGCTAATCTGGGCGATCAATCTTGCCATTTTTCCTTCGCCGTCGTGATCGCTGTACGGAACCGTGCACGAACTGTTCTAACCTCTTTTCTTTTTTCACTCTATGACGATAAGGCTCTATGACGCGAACGCAACCGGCAGCGAGAGCAAAACGGAGCTGATTGATGATTCTCGGTCAAATAATGAAAGACAAGATTACAATCCAGCCTCAGCACTTTTCTATCATCGGCCCCCTCTCTTATCTCATCTTAGAAATTTAATTGAACTGAATATTCGAACGAGCAAACATGAACAAGCACAGATGTAGGATAACACGTTCGAATCTCGCCAAAAGTATCGAAAACGAATCTTTTTTTATCTTAGTCTGCTTTTCTTTACTCGAAATATATCAATGCTGATCGCGTGCACAAGCTTGGAACAATCGCGAGTATAATTGCAACACAAATAGTATGTGACCTTCAGTCTTGAGCAACCGCGAATTAGTTTTATTAGTTTCATATTTCTGTTATCAATCAGAATCGTCAACAGCGAATGTCGTGTAAATGTTACTTATTAAATTATAAGAACGATATCTCCAGACTGCACGAGTCGTTGAAAATTTGAAGGAAATAAAAAGGAATGATACATATAAATCGTAAATTAGACAGATTCTAATTTTAATGATTTGCTCCGATGACACATGATTAAATAATGTAAAGACAATTTCGTACAATCTTTTGACTTACAAAAAATAAACATACACAACACTAATCGTATATTGAAATTTTGATAAAATAAAAGCAATTGTTGCATTACAATCTGCAGCTAAACTTTTTATATTAGACTACATTATTCTAGATGCATATTAAAAAAAAAAGAGATTAAATTGATTACATCTTGTATAATTACATTCAAATGATATTAAAATAGCTTTCATTTCATTACATAATGACCAAAAATGTTACCATGTTATTGTTACATAGTTCTCTTTCATTATTTATATGCATTACCCCCCATTCATAATAAGTTTCTTAAAAATAAAATTAATTCTTAATAATAAGTAATTTTTTATTTTGGGACATAATTTCGCTCATTTGCTACAACACCAAAATTAAAGTTTTCTAGAAAATAAGTTTGAATGCTTAAAATCATTAAAATTTTGTAATGTTAATTTTAAAATGTAATTTTGATGTAATAATTGATTACAGAGGAATATATCTTTTTAAATTTTCTTTATGTTTCTATTCTTTTTCTGCAAACAATTGGAAAAAAATGAGAATTTTTTAATTATATCCTTATTGTGACAAATAAGCGCTTTAATCCTTCGCAGTTATAAATTAACAAAAATATTTGTCCTGATTTGACATGTGCCTGAAAAACTTATAATTATTTCATTAAACATTTTCCTGGATAATGAGTAAGAAAAATGGATTTACAGATTATACCACAGATTGAATCTTCAAAGTGTTTGAGAAAAATATTAAATACTTTTGAAAAATTAGTTAACAGAAATATGTAAGGCTATAATAAAAGTAAAAGGGCTTTTTCAATCCGTGACAAATACTTTTATTATTTTATGGTTTAAAAAGATCTAATTATTGTAGATGTATTGCCAAAAAAAAATTACGCAAGACTATTTCATTTTTAAGACTGTTCACTCACCACTATTACCACCTGAGATTGTAACGTCAAAAATGAGATAATAAAAGTTCTCGCAAAATGAAGTAAAACGGCTTGATTTACATATAATACATAATATGTAGTTTGATAGAATTATAATTTCTTTTTGTTACAATTATAAGTATTCATAATGGTATTCATAAGGATATAATGTAAAAGATTTGAAGTGTTTGTCAATAAGTAAAAATTCATTATAAAGTGTAAATATGTAGAATTCGATGAAATGTAATTCTATAGAATTTTATAAAATTCTTATTCAGGATTATTGTTATATGAACATTTGGATTAAGCGCAATTTTACAAGCTGTAGAATTTAGACAATATTTTTCGAAGCACGTAAGTTAAGAGGATAGTAATAGCACATTTTGAGAACATTTCATAATACATGTTATCAAAATTCTACCATATCAGTGACCTCAATGAATATCAATGACCTCGGACATCATATTAAGATTTGTAGTTATAGTACATAAAAAATCGTTTGCAATGAAGAAAATATTCACATATCATATTTTTTATATATGTATATACGAATGCATTTTCTTCTATTTTTTATCGTTTGGATTGTCAAAGACTATTACCTGATGCTAAATATTGCAACAAGAAATGCATCTCTATATTTCAGTACAATATCTTTGAAGCGTAAGTGAAATAAACACTTGAATAATATTTTGAAATATTTATCTCAGAAATGTTTGCTGTGATTTGTATGTAAATAGAAAAATTCATATCTGGAGACATGATAGTGTCTCGGTTCCTATGTTACATTAAATTTATAATTGAAATGTAATTACACTAATTTAACAATTTGACAAATTTGAAATAAAATTAATGCAAAAATGCTAAAATATTCGAATACGTAATACTGTCCAGATTCATCAAAAAATTTAATTATAAATCTATATATAATTAATAGTTAATATTTAATAACCTGATATATCGGAATATTGTTAAATGAACAAAGAATAATCGTTATGTTATAATCCGATAACGGAAGAACGTCCAGTTGTATTGTGGATTGAGACTGGGACGGGTTTACTGAGACACCATTCATACCATACTTTCTTAGAACCACATCTGCGCCAGAAATGGACCACTATTTCATCTCCTGCCTTTAATTGTACTGGTTCCTGTGTATATCAATAAATATTTTTTTATCTACCACAAAACTTATATTTCGCAACTTTATAAGTACTTTAAAGAATAAAAGTTATTTTAAGTATACCTTAAGTGGAAAAAATATTGGGAACCAACTAAACATATCTGAGCTATATGTGCTAGGTTCTATGCTTAATGTGATATTTTCATATAAAATTGCTGTGAAATATCCTGAAAATCCATGTAATACACAATTCTGTTCTACTTGAAAAGTCTTAGTTTCATATCTCGAATTGTCAGCAAGAGCATCTACAAAAATATAAACATGTGTAAAGAAATTAAAACAATTAAAATATAAAAAGTTGGATATTTTGTACAAACCTGGATTTGGATGTTTGAATGTAAAAAGTGGTTTCGGATTTGCTATATCGTATTTATTTTGAAGATGCACTACGTATAGAGTTTCAAAATGAGCTAACGGATGTTTGTCTTTATCTCTAAGTTGTCTCACTTCATTGTATAATTTAGAGGATTGCATAGGAGCTATGTATGAAGTATATGATTGTGGTATGTTAATTCCGTCATCTAATAAAAATTTCAAACAAGTAGTTAAAAAAAAGATTATATTGATACTATTAATGCAAGATTAATATCATTTACGTAATGTGGCATGCAAACCTCTTAAGAACTTAAGGACATTATCTAGACATTCTGGCGACAATTCGTTATCGCCAAAGGATCCGAGTAATTCAGACACAATTATATCAGCTTTTTCCGGAGGATTCCATTCCCTCATATCACATGATATCACTGTAACTTTTTCTTTCCACATATCTCTTTGAAGGGCCTGTAAACTGTAAACATAGATAATGAAATAATAAACATGTAATTCATGAAACTTAAAATTATTGGATAAAAAATCTTCTCTAGTTTATTTTAAAATAAATAAATTAATAAAAACGGTATAAAATTGTTTCTTTATTAAATAAAATATTGATTCTTTCATTTCAACTATTTTTTAGATAGCTTTATTACTTATCTTCTTATCAAATATCAAAATTATATTACATTTAATAAAGAATTATTTAAAAATATATTTTAAAAAACAAAGATTTTTTATACAATCCAATATAATTGTTATTTTAAAATAGTCTCACGTTATTATGGCATTAGGATTCTTCTCCACTGCATATACCTTTACTTCCCGATATGCCATTTTCGCGGCATTCAGAGATGCGGTTACAAGTGGTCCTCTTCCAGCACCAACTACCATAATGACTCTAAAAATTTATAATCTTGTTATACATTTTTTTATTATGGATATTACTTTTATTAATTAATATGATTCGACTTACATTGTTCTTTCCTCTTGCATTTTGTATACTATTGCGTTTATAGCTTCGTATATAGCACTCTGATATTCTCGATATTTTACGGGATCCTTCTCAAATATTTCATAAGTTTGTGATTCGAGATTATCCATTAGAGGCTGTAATGGACATTGCAGATAGTCCTCATATCCTCGAGCAAATTTTTCCACTGTTCCATCATTTTGACATCCCTTAAAAAATGACATTATTTTGTATATTCTACAAAATTAAGTATTTATCTAAGGAATTTATCCTTAGATAAATGCAAAATTAGCCAATGCGAGCCAACACAGATTAGATGTGGGTGAATTTGTATATTTGATTCTTGATTACAAGATTACAAATGTTTCGACCTTTTTGATTGAATCTTCCTCAGTATGATGATAAAATCCGTAGCGTATAATTTAATATAAAAGATGTGATACAATGAAATTAACATTATAAATACATGTGTGTTAACGATATTTCAATTTCATTGTATCGTATCTTTTATATTAAATTATACGCTACGGATTTTATCATCATACTGAGGAAGATTCAATCAAAAAGGTCGAAACATTTGTAATCTTGTAATCAAGAATCAAATATACAAATTCACCCACATCTAATCTGTGTTGGCTCGCATTGGCTAATTTTGCATTTATCCTTGGATTTATTCATTGGAGCCTATATCAAGATCAACTATTATTTTAAGTATTTATCTTTAGAAAATTTCTTTAGTTTTACCTTCCACAGATAATCAAGATAGTTATGATAATAACTAATACTTTGATAACGTGATGCTCCTGTTAAAATAAATTGTACTTCTTGCATAGCAAATCTTCTTACTAATGCTTGATGTGCTTTGCTTAGTACTGGATATCCCTTTTTATTAGTTAAAAATAATGTTGTCGGCAAAATTAAACATCTTACTGGTTCTCCGAGCCACCTATCAACCTTTTAAATTTAAATTGGTTTATATCATATTCATATTGCACAATTTTAATTTGCAAATTCATTTTATAAGCTACCTCTTCTTCTTCAGGCAAGTCATGACTGACAATTAATGAAACTCCTAATTTTTTATTATAATCACATATTACTCTAAAAGAATTCCACCATTCCCATGGATTCTCGTCTTCTGAATAATCTTCTGTTCTATAAGAATAGGTTTGTCTAATTGGATTCTCCATAGGAACTTGTATCCATACCTATAATAATTAATATATTTCAATAATTTCAAAAACTGTATTAATTTATCTCTCTCTAATTCTACAGTTTATAAATATATTCTATATCGGTAAATATATTTTCTTATTGTTCAATGTAAATTGCATTATCCTTGTTTCAAAATATTCATTTCTAAAAGTATATTGGATATTAGTCACACATGTCTTCTAATTTAAAAATTAAAACTATAAATTATAATTTATTGTGTATATATATATATATATATATGTGCTACCTGGAAAGTACAATTATTGTTTGTTATTTTATCAGAAATAATCCTTGCAAGATTCACATTTTTGTTTATCCCGTTTTTTAATTTTAAAGTCACCCCTGACAAACCAAAATGGCTAAAAAAA